GGTGTCCGCGAGAAGCAGCTGAGCTTCTACAACGTGAACACCACGAGCTGGGAGGCTGCGAAGGGCGAGCGTCCCTTGTACATCAGCAAGAACGCGGAGGAGGCGGTGTTCAGTGGCCAAGTGCAGCTGTAAGCGAGCAGTCACTGTTGGAAGACTGGGTGAGTGTGAAAGCAAACATGGTGGCCGCTGTAGCAACAGGAGCTTCAGCGTTGAAATGAAATAGCATTCAAACTTAGATAACTTGACTAAATGACAATAACCCCATAGCCGCTCGATAATGCAGAGAAAGATTGCCATCGATTGCTCGATGCAAATGTGCACGAGGCGAGGCTGTCGTTGTCACTCCTTGCCCTGTCCTCATCAGTACCGCTTCAACTGGGACTTTCCTGCTTCAACCACGAAGCAAATCGCGAGCAACAAGCACAGGGCTCGATTGTCAAAACTGGTGCAGTGTGTCTGTGGACGAAGACAGATCCATAGGATCAATCTTCGGTTGATCTACATGGTACCTGTATCTTAGCTGTCGTCGTTCAAACTTAAGCATACATGATGCTATTATAGCTTACTGCTATGTACATCGCTGTCTAGTGCAAATTGATCACCTAGACATGCTCATTGAGTTGCCCCAAAATCCGCAGCGCCACCAATGCCTCGAACAAATCCGAAGGGATTGAGCTCAAGTTGCAGTTGTTCACGTCTCGTTTTTGCGGACCTTCAGGGCCGCCGGCGGCGGCAATCCACCAGCGCGAGCGCAACAGAAGCGCCGACGCAGAGCATGCCGTGGTGATTGACTCACTGCTTCACTTTTCGTCTTTCTCGCAAGCGCAATACCAGTCGACGGTCGTCCTGTTTCACTCCTCCGCCATGCGCTCGCTTTTGGTCCCAGTCGTGGCTGCTGCGCTAGTGGTCACACCAATCACTGCCTTGGATGTGCCGACAGTCACCATTAAGAATGGCTCTTACTACGGTGTCTACCAGCCCACGTACGACCAGGATCTCTTCCTCGGAATGCCCTACGCGCAGCCGCCTGTCGGCGATCTCCGCTTCCGCAACCCAGAACCTCTCAACACGACGTGGACGGACTCCAAGAACGCGACAGAGTACTCTCCCGAGTGCTACGGATATGGCAGTGACCAGTGGGTGCTGGGCAACATCATTTCGGAGGACTGCTTAACGATAAACGTGGTTCGTCCGAGCAACGTCTCTGAAGGGGACGATCTGCCTGTCGGGGTGTGGATTTATGGCGGAGGTCTTGTCCAAGGTGGTGCCCGTGACCCTCGTTACAACCTGTCTTACATCATCGAGGAAGCTGCGGCAGCGGGTAAACCGTTCGTCGGCGTCAGCTTTAACTATCGTCTCCAGGCCTTCGGGTTCATGTCGGGCACCGCTGTGCACAAGGCCAGTGTGGCCAACCTCGCGCTGAAGGACCAACGTCTGGCCTTGCACTGGGTGCAAGAGAACATCGCCGCATTCGGCGGAGACGCCAGCAAGGTCACGATTTGGGGTGAGAGTGCTGGTGCGCGCAGTATCGGCTACCAGCTGATCGCCTACGACGGCCGCGACGACGGTCTGTTCCGTAGCGCTGTGATGCAGTCGGGTGCTTCGGCTTACTGGCCCAAGAGCTTCAAGAACGCCTCTGCCTGGAACGTCCATTACAACAGCATCACTGATGCCACGAACTGCAGCTCTGCGGAAGACACCCTTGAATGCCTCCGCCAGGTCCCGATTGACACGTTATCGGCCGTTTTCAATAGTTCGGCGGCTACGTCGGCGATGTATGCGCCGTCTGTCGACGGTGACTTTCTGACGGACGTTGGGCCAAAGCTCATCGGTGAAGGCAAGTTCGTGCACGTGCCAATCCTGCACGGCGCCAATTTTGATGAGGGTACTGCGTTCGGCAAGACGGGCATTAACACGACTGAGCAGTTCTATGAGTACCTGGTTGGAACCATGGGCTACAGCGACGATGAGGCTGAGGTGGTGTTGAAGATGTACCCCGACATTCCGCAGATAGGCATCCCCGCCACGCTTCGTGGCCGACCGGGCAATGACACTAGCTACGGATACATGTACAAGCGGGTGGAGGCTTACGCCGGCGACAACAATCAGCACGGCCCTCGACGCTTTATGTCCCAGATGTGGACGCGCGACGACGTACCCGTGTACAGCTACCGGTTCAACGTTGTGCCCACCGGCATCTCGCAGTATCTCGGTTCGACGCACTTCCAGGAGGTAGCATTCGTGTTTTACAACCTCAAAGGCAACGGATACAACACGTCGGTGGCGACGGACCCGTTCCTGAACAAACCGGACGGCTTCAAGCAGCTTGCTCGGATAATGACTCGTATGTGGGCAAGTTTCATCGTGGACCAGACACCAAACAACAATGGCGTGACAGACGTCGAGTGGCCGCAGTACTCGCTCGACGACCCACAGAATATCGTGTTCGACGCCAACGTGACGGATCTCGCCTACATCGAGCCGGACCTGTTCCGCGCCGAGGCGATCGCGTATATCCACAGTCTATACAACGCCACCAGCTAGGCGAACGAGATAATACAATTATGATGTGTGTTGACGTGAGTTGCAACCTGGAAAACCTTTTGTGCATTTAAACAAGAAGAACTTACTGGCGACTTGACCGAAGGGCGTGAGAGTGTTGCAAGCCAGCAGGAGCGTTGCTGTCTGGCAAAGCAATTGGAATATGTGCAACGAATGTAATGCGACGCTGGAGTGGACGTAATCGTTCACCTGCGGAAGCATTGCTGCGAACATGGCGGCGAAGCGCCATCAATTCCGGTAGAGTGTAGAATGCAGACTGCATTACACCTCGTGCTCCCATCGCATGATCTTTTTACGATCTTCTCCACATGTATTATGCGAGAGGGTCTTGAAGCGCGGACACATCTTGTTTTGCTTGAGCACCATCCTGTGGCACAAATTTGTGACTCACGAACCCCAGAGCTGAGCCATGTTCTGCTCCGTGTGAAACGAATCGTGTACAACGAGTTCGTGCCGACTTCAACGAGCTGGATCGGATCAGCGCCAACCAACCACGACTCGATCGTGAGGACGTGAGGGCGTATCGGATAGAGCACAACGCACCGTCTGAAGGTGGCTACCTGCACAAGACAGTTCGTTTAACTGTGAAGTATGGGAGTTGCGAGTCGACCTGTCGGCAATGGTTAACGCGCGGTGATTTCTGGATATGACAGGGCGATAGATTTTCTGCTGACACCTTTTTGAAATAGAGATTTCGGTGTCTGGTATCGCTGGATACATGACTAAGCGCCAAATTGCTTCACGGAGGCGAGATTCCGACCGCCCACAGCTTCCCACGCCCAAACTCTCTTCTACCGAGGCCACAGGGCTCTTCTACCGGGACCGGCGACTGGCTGGTCGACCCTGCTGCTCGTTCCAGATGCCTCTCCAATTTTTTTCTCCAGCCATCTTTGCTCGATGACAAGGTGGCTCCGAATCACGTCGCCGTCGCTGAACTTGCAATGATACGAGCGGCTAAGCAAGCGAGCGCGCGAGCGAGCATTCCTGTAAGTCACATGCGAGGTTGCAGTCGTTGCTGAGCAGAATGCCTCATAAAAAGCTGAGCCCCAGCTCACAATGACACGTACGTAAGCGACGGGGATCTGTCGAAAAGGTCAACACCTGTTATGCCACGCAGCAGGCTTCTAGAGAATGGTGCGTCTATGGAAACCACTGTCGAGAATGTGGCGGGATGGCAGGCACTTGCACGACGACAGGTGTGGACAGACAACGTCGCGCCCGTCGTCGCGTTGCAAAAGTGCCTGGAGATCTGCTCGCCGATGTTGCAGAGGGGACAAGAAGCCAGCCACCGCGCTTCTTCCGCCGTAGTGTCATTCGCCAAACGGCCGCGGGCAGGAAGCGCTCGCCCCACTCGGTCTGGAACTAGCGTATTGTGCTAGTATATATCGCTGCGCTCGCAACTTCACGGTGTCTGCTTGCTAGTCGCGCATCAAGGTTGACAAGTATCCATTCAGACTACGGCGGTCTGACTACTTCAGTAACCGCGGTAACGGCTGCGTGGAAGCCTCCAAGATGAAGTTTCCACTGCCCAAGAATATCTTCCCACCGCTGGAGTTGTCGGAGAACCAGGAATTCAGCTACGAACAGCTCGCCAATGCGCTCATCAAGGCCACGCTCACCGAGTATGATCAGTTCGTCATGCACGACCGCAAGCGCGTGGACTCCAAGCGCTGGAAGACCGTGCGCACCCGCGACGGTGTGACCATCTACCGTGAGCGTGTCGTGGACGGCGTGCGTCAGCCGGCCCCGGCTAGCCTTGCGCTGTATCAAAGCGCCATCTCAGCGACCAGCAGCCGTCCCAGTCAGAATGCACGCCGTTCGGGCCCCCTGACCTCCGACACTATCTCTCTCAACAGCGGACGCGGCTTCATGCCTCCGTCGCCAAAGAAGAGCAGGGACATGGACCCAACTGAAGACAGCCGTGACACGACCGGCAACGACAGCTACAGCAGTGGTGGCCTGCTATCAGAGCCACGCATCACAACTGCTGCGTTCTCAAGTGCTGACGACGATAACACTAGCTCTGGCCTGCCAAGATTGCTCGCTGTCGGCAACCTTCGGGGCTCTCTTGACGACGTCATGTACGGCGTCGTGTCGCCGAACGCGTCGTCCGTTCGCCTGCGTAGCTCGTACCTTGGTGAACACATCGCCGACTGCGCCGTGCTGCGTGAGATGAAGAGTCCGTCTCCTGCCGACCCGTTTCGATTCCTGGGTATCAAGTGGTTCGTGCGCGCCAAGCACCGCGGTGCTGCCCGCATCGTCCTGCCCCGTGATTTCGTTGTCCTAGAGTTCTCCGGTGTAATGATGCGACCCGACAACTCGCGCGTGGGCTTCCATCTCATGCACTCTGTGGATATCTCTGCGTGCCGTGAACTGCACGAGCACCGCATCCTTCGCGCAAAGGTGTCGAGTTGTTACATTTTCGAGGAGACGGGCAACAACCGCGTCCAGGTCTTCATGACAGCTTCCGTTGATCCGAGTGGACATGTACTCAACCGTATGGCCGTGCGATCAGCGGCTACGGCACTTAGCAACTGCTGGAGGTCTGTCTCCTGTGCGCACAACAAGAAGCTCGCCTTCTGTCTAGAGAACGAACGCCCGTCAAGTATGGGAACCAGCGGCGTCACCTCCTCTCGAGGTGGCCACGCACTATTAAGCGCTAGCGTTGTCAGGTCGTCCCGAGGAGGCCTCTCTGCGCTTACACCTGTAAACGAGTCCAGCGTGCGCGAATCGAGTGCGATGGAGCCGGTGTCCCAGCGCAGCAACTACAGCTCCACGGCACATCGTCGTCAGTGCGGTGTCTGTCGTGGTAAGCTGGGTGTACTGTCCAAGTCGATTTCGTGTCAACTATGCTGTGAACAGATCTGCAGCCGATGCCGTATCGTGCGCAAGCTAAGCAGCAACACTCTTAACTCACAGGTCATGCAGTCGTCCATCAACTTCTGCAAGAAATGCGTCGCCAGTGTTAGTGACGAGAGCGCACTGGAGATCGCTCGTCAGGAACTGTGGGTGCGGGCGCGTGGCCGTACGCGCGCGTCGTCCGCGATCTCTAGAACGACCACGAGAAACAGTTTCTCATCGGAAAGGAACACGTACGCGACGGTGGTGCTCGGTCGAGGCAGTGATATGAACAGCCGGGGCAGCACTGCATCAAGCAGTCTGGGCTTCAGCCGTGGCCCCAGCAGCTTTAGCCGTGGCAATAGTAGCTTCAGCCAGAGCCGCGGTCCTCAGCAGGAGGAATCAGCTCTGGGGTACTCGGTTGGCCCCCGTCCATCGACATCGACGCAGTCCTCGACCCCACTGCAACGCCCTAGTTCGGGCGGCCGGTTGTCGAAGAATTTCTCGCTCAACACGATCAGCACCAGCGCTGGCCCGTTGTCGACCAGTACGCTGACGAATGATGCGCTATCGCTCGCCGACCTCGGCAGAGATAGTAGCATCAACCGCAACAGTGCCAAGAACAAGGATGCCACCGCTAACAAGGACAAGAGTGACGGAGAGGAGCCTGTAGTGCTTGATCACCGCATGACCATGACCATCCGCAGTCTGCGTCACCTGGACTACGTCTTGTCAGTGGGTGAACAGGACCTTGTGGACGAGCTTGAGAACGAAGATTTCGAGTCTGAAGACTATGGGGAGTTTGAGAGCGGCGATGAAGGCGAGCTACGCTCGAGTTACGCGTCGTCGGTAGCTGTGCTGGATGACAACTATGAGACGTGTGAGACTCCTACAAGTGACGCACATCAGTCGCAACGCGAGTCTCCAATCGTTGAGGGCGAAGAAGACGAAGACAGCGAAGAAGACGAAGACAGCGAAGAAGACGAAGACAGCGAAGAAGAGGTCGATGATGAGCAGCAGCTTAAAGAAGAAGAGAAATCGACTGAGGAGGTTAAAGCTATGAATGCCGATGAGAAGTCTGCGGAGAGCCAACAGCCCACGGAGCAGACTGAGGACGATAACAACGAGACGGAACAGCCCTCAGAAGCATTGGAGAAGTCGGTTGTGATGGCTATGCTGGTCCACGAGGGTGCCGACCAGCAAGATGAAGCCGTGGAGGTGGTGGAAGCCGCCCCCATCGCGGAGGTGCACGCCATGATGCTGTCCCAGTACGAGATGCAGAAGGCCACGCCTGAGTCTGCTAACGAAGACCCAAAGCCGCGTCTGCATCGTGCGCACACGACGGTCCCGTCCTCCGGCGGCGAAACGAACTACCAGCATCAACTTTTCCAGCAGATGCAGGACTTGCACAGTGTCGCGGAGACGACGTACCAGGTGGCTCGAGCCAACACCGAGGCGGCTTTCAAGGAGCGTGATAGTGGCCGCATGTCCAAGGCGTCGCCCGACGGCACGACTGGAAACCTCCGTGGCGTGCGGACATTCTCCCAGCCGTTCGCCTTCAACGTGGTGGGTCTGCGCTCGACGCGCGCCATGACCGTTGGCATCGACAAGTAAGCAAGCGAGAAGCGTAATGCCATTATGAGCTGTGATATTTAACCTGGAGGTAGAGAATGCAAGCAATTGAGGTCCTATCTAGTGAACAAAGCATTCAGTTATCAAAAATATATTAGCGTTGCTAGTCTTGCCTGCTTTCGTGGTGATCACGTGCTTAATCCCCCATTCCCGTCGGCTTAAACCAGCGGGTGAAAATATTCACGCAAGGACTTGAATTAATATCAGGCGGCGATGGTGGAGCAGTAATGGATCGCTTGGCAACGTCGAGAACCTAGTTGAATAAGCCATTTTGAAGGCATCTGGAGTTTGTCGTGTGGCTTGTGTTGTAGCTTCGACTGGCGGGAGCTTTCGGCGGAAATAGCCCTTCTTATTCCACCACGTACACCTCACGGAGGCGGGTCAGTAGAATGGTGTGGATGCATGAACAGCGAGTGGATATTTCGTGCCAGTGTAGTCGTGCAGCGTCCCTGTTGGGCTCATGGTTGATGCCGACGTCTACCTCGTTAAACCCTGGTTGGATGTTGAAAACGGACAAGTAGGCCCCACCAAGGTAGTACTGTATACACAGACACACGTCCAAAGTCTCATTTAGCGCCGGGCAGTGGCACTACTGGTGCTTTGCTCGGTGTGAAGAATCCATTTTTCGCGTTGCCTCGTGAAGGCATGTTGATAGCGGACACTTGGTAGTTTTGCCTCGCAGCCAGTCGTTCCTACCCGCGACAGTTGTATCGGTGCTTGAACGCTGCCTTGCCAGACTTGTGGTCCAATGGACCCCGGAAACCACGAAAAAAAACTTTTGAACCGTGGTTCTCTCTTGCCCGCTGTCATTCGACCTTGCTGCTTTCGCCGTGTTCATTTCGCGGTATGGCTGCCACATGGTGCAGCGACATCGGTGGTGGAGAGTTGACCAGTCTTGCGTTCACGCCACGTTGCTGGAGTGAACTCAAAATCTACCAGCCCTGGATGCAAACAGATTGCATGATTGAGTACAGGTGTCGCTCCGAATGTCCACGCTTGCAGCCAACTTCGATAGGTAGGACGTTTGCTTCATTAACCAGTTTTCTTGCTAGCGCATAAGTGAATACACCGATTCGGGCGAGAACTGTCAGCAGATGAAGTTTCCATTGTCTCGTACCCCGTTTGGCGACTACCCCGCGCTGTCTGAAGCGCAAGCCGAACAGATTAAGCTGCTTGTCCAGCAAACACTATCAGAGACCCTAGTGGAGTACGAATCCCACGAGCAGAAACAGCGGCGGTTGTTGCCGCGTTCACAGTACAAGGTCGTTAAGAAGGTCGAGAACCTCATCTGTTACCGTCAGAGGTCTAAAGTCTCACCTGAAGTTGTAACACCGGTAACACGTACCTATCCGACACGCACAAACCCGCCGTCTCCGGTATCATCAGTGACGTCTGCATCGTATGCGTCCACAGCTCGCAGCGGCGACGCCCAGTCTCTCAGGCACACACCAACGCTGGTTACCGTTGGCACGATGGCTGGCACACTTGACGACGTCATGTACGGGCTGCTTGCTACGGATTCGACGTCAACGTTAATCCGGGCCTCGTACACCGGCGAAGAGCTGCTGGATTCCGAGCTGCTCCATTGCATTCAATCCCCGACACCCGTCAAGCCGTTCCAGTTCTGCGGCGTGAAGTGGCACGTGCTGGAATTGACGAAGATCACGTCAAAGCGCGATTTTGTGTTCGTGGAGGCTTCAGGAGTTGTTGATCGCCCGAACGGCGAGCGTGTAGGATACCACATCATGCACTCGGTCGACCTTCCAGGCCTCGGTGAACTGTCGGAGAAGTATCAAGTGCTGCGGGCGCACGTCGTGTCCTGCCACCTTTTCCGCCAGCTACCCACCAACACGGTCGACGTGTACATGAAAGGCCTCGTCGACCCTAGCGGCCACATGCCTAGCGCCGTTGCCACTGCATCGACCGTCGGTGCCCTTTTAAAGTTCAGCCAAGCCGTCGAGTGCTCACACAGCAAGAAGCTCGAGTATTTGCTCGAGCAGGAGCAACTCAAGCGTGCCGGTGCACTGAACAGAGCGAGTGGTGCTAGCCACGCGAGCATCCAAAGCAATGGCAAGCTAACGAAAGCAGGTGGGTCGTGCGCCGTGTGCGCCACGACATTGCACCTATTCCGCAGTGTAGCTCGCTGCGAGCTCTGCTCTGAAGCTGTTTGCTCCCGGTGCCGCGTTACCCGACGGCTGAGCTACCGTGTCGCTCGCCCGAAGGAGCTGAAGCAGCAGAACACTACCTTCTGTACGACGTGTATCGCGAAAGCTTCGGCTTACAGTGCCGCCGACGTTATTCGCTCAGAGCTGGCTGCACAGTCCACGTTCAAGAAGAACGCGTCGAACAGTATGAACAACTTGGTCTCCAGTCAACTCCGACGGTTCCTGACCGGCTCAACTCTCTCATGCAACAACACAACGCTATCGTCTTCTACCTACTCGCGTCTTGAGACGCCCGTGGAGGAGGATGAGGACGATCTGTCATCTCGTCGGACAAGTCTAGATATTGATGGCCCGACCGTAGCCGTCCGAAGGCGGTCGGTGACGCACCCGCCTGTGTCGCGCGAGAAGGTGGAGATTGAGATGCTGGCTGAGCTAGATCTGACGTCCAGTCTCAGCGTGGTGAGCTCCAGCAGCGACTACTTGGACGAGGACTTTTACGAGAACGAGGCGGGTCGAAGGAAGACTCAGCCTCCCAACGCGTTCTCGGATCTACCCGAATCCAAACCGGCAGACCCGCTCGCGTGCTCGATGCCGCCCAAACCCAGCGCTTCAGCAATGAACAACCAGGTGCGACACCAACGCGACCTCATTCGGCGCATGGAGGAGCTGCGGCAGAATGCCGAGAGCGTTTATCAACTCACGCGGAGGAACACACAGATGCAGTGCGGCGGCATGCCGTTGCATTCACAGTCCGTGTGCATCACGAACGTCGATCTAGATTAAGCGCTTTCTCAGAGGCAGGAGTGTTCTAATAGCGTTTGCTTGTTCAGGTCTTTACATAATTGACCTGGTAGAGCAGTATAATGCTACTCGGGTTGGCATTTTACCTTACTCTCACCGTTTCTTACATCTATCTATGATAAACCTGTAGACATCGTAAGCAAGTTGATTCGCACCGGTGCCGCGGTATTGTCCGGGTCGGGTGCGGCTGAGAGCAGTGCTCTCAATTCTCTTGTCAGTCGTAGCAGCGCTTGTCAAATGACACCAAGATGTCGGATACAAGAGTCGGAGCGTGCTGGTTTCGGTGTTCTCCGCCGACACATGGCAAAAGTGCGGTGAGAATATCCATGAACACCATGAACACCAACGCCTTACAGCATATACGGCGAATTAATAAGACCACCAACGCACTGCAGGTTCTGCGGTGACCATGGCGTGCAACGTCAACGTCTCCGCTCACGTCACCAGCCTTCGGTCCGCCCTTGAGCAACGACGTTCACCATCCCTTCCCGCAGCAAGCTCGTCTTAAGAAAACCATCCAAGTTGCGAGCTCCGTGCCGGAAAGACCGCTTCAAGCGTGAATCCAGTGCATACCGGATCCGCGGCGATTGAAGCGGACACCGTGCAGTCTTTTCCTGCCATTACCGAGCATCCCACTCGTGGATCCAAATGGCGTTTTGCCATTCTCTATGGCCATTGCATACTGCCAGGCAGTCAAGATACAGTACTTCCTTTGGCGAAAACCGGCACCAAGCGACAGCATGACTAATACTGATGTCTACATGCAGCCGCATTGAGCTGCTGCCGTCGACAACGGCGCAGTTCGATCGGTATTTCACACGCATACAAGCATTGCTGGCCAGTGCGTCTTGATCGGTCTGACGAGCAGACGAACTTCAAGTGTACATGCGCAGTTCCAGCTGTTCGAAAGTCTTTGAAGTCGCGCCGTGACCTGTTCCGTCCTGTTGACGCCACTCTTCAATCCGCCGTCCGCCGCGCACGCCGAAGCGAGAGTCATCACCCCACTCTTACCACACTTGCACCGCGATGAAGAAGTTCCCGTTGTCGCTCGAGGCGTTTCCGTCCATGCCGTTGTCCGTCGAGGAACAGGAGGCGTTGGAGACGCTGGCGGACCAGCAGCTCGCATTGGCCGAACGCCAGCTGGACCAGCACGTACAGCGGGACAATTCCGTGGTGGACAAGCGCCGCTGGAAGCCGCTCAAGACACGCGAGAGTATCACCGTCTTCCGCGAACGCTCCAGCGCCGCGTTCCACCGCCAGTGCCACAGTCGCAGCCAAATCAAGAGCCCGTCCGGCACGCTTGGGTCTCAGAGCGACGAGGACTGGCCGTTGCCTCAATTGCTAGCAGTCGGCACGCTGGAGGGGACACTGGAGGACGTCGTGTACGGTATTCACACTCCCACAGCCTCCCACGTGATGGCCAAAGCCGTTATATCTGATGACGAGGTGGTGGACGCACAGGTGCTTCAAGAACTCAAAGGACCCACTATCGCCCACCCGTTCCGGTTCTTGGGCGTGAAGTGGCTCGTCAAGGCTCATCCGGCCGCCATGGGGGCCGTCGTGCTGCCGCGAGACATCGTATACGTAGAACACACTGGTCTCAAGACCCGCGCGGACGGCTCCAAGCTCGGTCACTTCCTCATCCACTCGGTGAATCTGCCGCAGTATCCAAATCTGAGAAAGGAGCTGGGCCTCGTCAGAGCACGAGTATCCTCCTGTGTTCTACTAAGACAACGAGAGAATGACTCGAACCTGGTGGACGTCTTCATGACAGGACGCGTAGCAGCTCAGGGGCGAGTCCTGGACAGTCTAGCATTGCTATCCACTGCTAACGGACTCACGTACTTCTGGAAGGCAGGCGTCTGTGCGCAGCGCAGGAAACTCGCATGGCGTCTGCAGCACAAACGCAAGTTGCCACCAGCTGGAGCGTCGGTCTCTCCATCGCTCTGTCCGCTGTGCACTAAAGGCCTAGATCGCGCCTTCAGTTCGCCCTCAATGTGTGAGATGTGTGGCGTCCGGATGTGTTCGCGTTGCAGCGTGACCCAGAAGCTGCTCTTCCCTGGAGCCTTTGGGAGTAAAGAGACCCACTTGGTCGCAGTTGAGCTCTGCACGCCTTGCATCTCGCGCACGACTGAGGAGGACCCGGTGGCTATCGCTCGCCAGGAGATCCGAGCTGGTCAATACGGCGCTCTCACGTCGCCGAGAAGTGCCAGATACCGCACCCGTGCCTTCAATGTGGTCAAGCCACAGCGTAGAGTCGACTTGTCCGCTTCAGCAGGTCCACCAGTGACGAAGAGCACGTTATCTAGCCATCCGATGGTCAACTTCGCGGCTTCTGTCGGTCCAGCACGGATAAGCGACGATGAAGCTGAAGAAACAGTGACAAGGCAGTCACTACAGGCGTTGGATAGCTTGCTGAAGGACTCCAAGGGCCCAACAGAACAGCTCGAAGATCACTGGGACGAGTTAACTGGCAGTGAAGACGAACCCAACAACCCCTTGACGCCAAACCAGAAGCGTCTGACGCTCGAAGACCTGGACGGGTCTACCTCACCAGCAGCAAACACGGACAGCTCAATGCCGCTCTGGACGAGAATGTCAGCGTTGCAAGTCATGGCGGAATCCACCTACAATTACACCAAGAAGACGACAGAGAAGACGATGCACTCAACGCTATCGAAGTCGTCTATCCAGCCCTGAGGCAAATGAAGCCACGCGGTGCCAACACTGCAACCCGTGTTTCCCGTTATCTATACCAATTGAAATGAATTACGTTGAAATTTACTCTTGGTTGTTCGATACATTCGCTGCGTCTGAAGGCACAGCTAGAACGAAGAGGGACTGCGGGTTGCTACTTGTCAATGTTGATCCTGAGTCTTCAGAACCTTCATCGCTCGCTCCGACTTTGGATTCCGCTGCGACTCGAACTAGCGCGGGGCTATCTGCCAGCTTCTTGAAGAATTCAGTCAACGGTTCGATAAGAGGACGAGGACCGGTTTGAGAAGTTCCAGAACTATCACCTTCTCCAATTCTAGAAGTCCACAGATTGGTATTAGGTGTTGATAACGGGAGTACAGCCAAGGTCACCAGCAGCAACTGGAACTTCTCAAACGAGATCACTTCGGTATGTGCACTGCCAGATATCCAATTGACTGCCTCCAGTAGAGAATGTAGCGCTGGGAGACCAGAACCTGGCGCTAGCAAGTTGAAATCGCTCGTAAACATAGCTAACCCTCGAAACGTGAGTACGGCCAGTCGACGAGGAGCTGAGGCTTTGGGAGTCGATACAATCGGTACACCACCGTCAATATCCACGTGAAGCTCACGTCGAGAGTAGTGGCGATGCAACAATTGCACAGCTGATCGATTAGCCGCTAGCAGTTGACGTGCAGCCACAGCAGTAGGTTCTTGGGAGCTTGTAAGCTGGAGATCCAGCTCTTTACAGCGACGAATCTGTGTCAGTAGTCGAGCTCCAAGACGTAGCGACAATGGCACGAGATAACGCAACATGAACCATTCTTCATCGTCGTCGATCTCTGGATCCTCTCCACCTGCTAGTTGCATTGACTGCTCTGCCTGTGCCACGACGCGTTCACGAACAATGAGCATCGCTGCTGTAAACCCACTCAGACTCAAGTGCGTGTCTGCCAAAGGTGCTGTCTGACGATGGGTCAGTCTTGAAGCGTGAGGAGATCCTTCTTGCGTTATGGTACGTTCGGCTTGAGAGAAGATGAGATCAGTCACGTGGAGTTTGAGTGGCGGTATGCTTGTACCATTTCGAGAGGATACAAGAGAAGACGCCGAAGCGGAAGTTCCTCCTGGGATCACGTTCATATCTCGTAGTACCAAACGGAATTGGCTTTTACTCATGCCACGTTGATGCACTGGATCCACAAGCGCCACATAGTAGTGGAACAGACAATTACTCAATCGTTTCTCCGTCGTGAGGACCTGGAGATCTCGTACGCCACGTAGCTTCAAGTATGTGCTTATGAACATATCCATCGCAGGTTCGTTTGAGCAGATCTCCTCCAGTCGCGCTTCCGCTCCTCCTTCTTCATTGGTATCATCATTCTCGCTCAACACTTCATCAAGACTCGACTGCCTCTTGCCTACAACTCTAGACGTCGTGTTGGTAGCTTGACGGTTGTGTGTCGTCACTTTCATCATCATTGACTGCTTCTTACGTCGCACGAAAGACGAGCGAGGAAGCAGTTGAGCCAAACGCGCCTGCTCCTCACGTTTCGCGATATCTTCTCGACGTTGTCGTACGTACAGTCTCGCCTGTAGCAGAGTCTGTTCATGAGCCTCAAGTTGTCTTCGTTTCTCACGCGCGATCGCAGCAGCCAGAGCCGAACGCGATTTATCGAGCCCTTCCCACACCCGTGACGCTTCTTGAGACGTACGCGCGCCAGCAGCACTCGCGAGTTCTCGAACTGCGTCCGGTTCTTCCCACTGAGACTGACCTGTCCGTGTGTTCTTGTAGTAAATAGCCCGCGATACCGGATCCTGCACTGCCGTCCACTCCGTCTCACGTCCAGTAACCACACAGACCGTTTGCTTCTTCTTCTTAACCCACACGTACTCTTCATTCCCATCTTCTGTTTCTCCAGAGGCCTCCGAGTATTGGTTGTATTGATTGACCCCATGCTGTGGAGAAGTCTCGAAGCCGGGTGGAGCTTCCCATTGACATTTTCCAGTAAGGTTATTGTAGTAGAAAGCCTGGCCGCTGTCGTTATCCCAGCACTGGATCCAGTCTCCTTCGGCTTTAGATTCGCCATAGTAACCTTCAGTGTCGACTGCATTAGCCGGCGCCAGCCATGACGTCCCCGCACTAGCTGCAAGTTCATTCTCAGCCCGAATCAGTAGAGCTTCGCAGTCTGGATGCTTGTTGGCAATAGCTAAATCCTTGGGACTCATTCCTTTCGCATTAGTCGTCAGTGGATCAGCACCATACCGTAGCAACACAGCCAGAGACCCAGTACTTCCATTGCATGCAGCTGCGTGGATAGCTCGATCACCACGTTGATCTTCGAGCTCCAGCATCCAGGAACGCGACTGGTTATTCCACGCACACAGGAACTCAACGCACGCCACACGATCTCGAGCACAGGCGACGAATAGAGGCGAGCGACCCAGTTTATCGCCTTGAAGCAGGTCGTCTCCGAACGCTAACAGAGCCTCAAGACACTCGGGTGAGGCCGCCAAGTGCGACGGCTTGAAACCTTTTGCATTGCGACCATGAGGGTCAGCGCCAGCATCTAATAGAAGCTGCAAGCATTGATGCCAGCCGAAGAAGCAGCAGACGTGCACGGGTGTATCCATCTGCCGGTCCGGAGTGTTTAGCCATACGCGACGTACACGCGCCAGTAGAGCGCAACACTCGAGTCGATTCGCTGCACACGCGTAGAACAGAGGCGTCCGTTGTTTCTTGTCCAACCAGTTTGTCTTCGTCTTGCCTTGATCTTCCGTCTCCGTATCGGCTTTTTGTAGCAGAAGTTCGAGACAGGTGACATGTCCGTTATACGCAGCACAATGCATCGGCGGCATCTCTCGACTCTTGCTGCACTGCACACACACTTGGGGTTGTTGCGTTTCCTCCTTCTCCGGTGTCGTGAACAGCGTAGCCGGTCTAATGGCCGATCCGGTGGCTGCTTCATTGCGAGCTGTAGGACTCCCAGGGAGTGGAGCGAGCTTGTGCGTGCGAGCTGTTGGCCGCGGCTCCATTGAGCTGAGGTTACCGTCCGTAGCCGGCAGATGCTTGGCTTCTAGTGAGCTTAATGCCGAGTGAGATTCAATGCGATACATTAGTCCCTGCTTGACCGCTCCGATATCTTCTCCAGCGTTCGAGGCGTGGCCGTCGCTGTCAGTACCAGAGTCGTTCCCGTCATCTTCGCCGTCCGCAACCTTCCCGTCGATCAGTTCATCGGTAAATAGCTGCTCCGTCGAGATGTCATGTGATAGTCTAGACACCACCTTCCTCTTGGCCTTCCGTTCCGCAGCACTAGTCGTAGAGCTGCTACTTTCTGCGTCACCTACATAGACTCTCGTACTTTTCTTCATTTTTAAGAAATACCAACTCCACACGACGCTCTAACAAGAATAAAACACCGAAACAGTCTCCAACTGACCATGCATTTCATCGTCCAGACAACAACCTCAAGACCTGTCAATACCTCCCTCTTACTACGTGGACACCACATGTAGCCACTCGTTCGGAGCGAGTGAGATGGTGTGTTTGAGTTCCTCGACCACGTTGTCCCGGATCTCCGGCCGAGAGAGCATCAATTGACGTGCACTCTCCAACACATCCGACGCGTTCCACAGTACAATGCCCATGATCTTGTTGCCTTTGAGGTAGTACACCACGCCACGTTCGTACGGCATTGCTCGTCCACCGGTGGAACTCGTACTGACATTAGGCGGTTGCACCCACACGCCCACCGTGCGTAGCGACGAATCTACTTCCCCAATACCTTCAATCAAAACGTTCACGCCCGGCAAGTGGCTACGGAACAAAGGCTGGTGTCGGTATGTCTTCATTTTCCCAGCGCCGAGCAGCGACCTGGCCATATTACGACCAGCTGTGAGGCCGCTGTTGACTGCGTGGTCATATCTGTCCACGCGCCGTCTGCCCAGGTACGGGTCGTAGTAACTAGCGGCGTTGCCGGCGACAAATAGGCCGGAAACGGCCTCCAGCTGGGCGTTGACTACGAGTCCGCCGTTCTTCTCGTCCCGTTCGAGACCGCCGCCCGCGCGCGTGGCGCGCCCCATGCGCAGCGTCGGGGACGGGTCTGTGTGCGTCGATGCCAGCACGACGTAGTCGGCGTCCAGCGCTGCTTCGGGTTTATCTTTGCCCAGTACGCCGACGGTCACGCCGCTGTCGCTCTCGTTGTCGTCGTCGTCCATACTCGGACGCAGACTCGTCACCAGTCGGTCAGGCACCACGTCCACGCCGGCGCGACTGAGCCGACGTGCCAGTTCCTCGGCCAGATACGGCGGCAGCGACCTGGCAGCCGGTGCCTGTTCCACGAACACCAGTTTGGTTTTAATGTGGTCGTTCCGCGGGTCTGTGGCCAACGCGCAGGCCACTTCACAGCCCAAAAAGCCCGCACCGATAACCAGAACGCTTTGCACGCCGCCGCCGCCTTCCTCGGACCCTCCGGCCGCCAGTTGATCCAGCCGCACGAAGTCCGCGCGCGTCGTGCACGTGTTGACGCGGTCTTTAAGCGCGTACGACACGCGGTCGCTGTCTAGCACGTAGAAATGACGAGGCCGGCCGGCCGACGCCACGAGGCAGCGCTCGTAACGCACTTCGGTGCCGTCTCCGAGTAACACGCGGTTCTTTTCGACGTCAAACTCAAGCGGCCGCTTATCCAACAGCAGCGTGAGCGGCGGCGGCCCGGAGGATGAGGCTGAGTCGTCCTCGAAGCGCGCGCTTAAGTGGCGACGCCACTCGTTGTAGCTCTCGAGCAGTGCGGGCGCCAGTGGCGGCTCGTCGACTTCGGCGTCTTCGTCGTCGGGCTGCTGGGAGCCATAGTCGAGACGGGGAAGCGCGTTTTCGTCGCTGAGCACGAGAATATCGGCGCTGGCGTCCTCCTGACGGATGGCCTCGATGGCGGCGTTGGCGGCGGTGCCTGATCCTACGATCACGTAGCGGTGGTGCTTGGTTTGCTTCCGGCGTGTGAAGCGGCGAGTCAGTCGCAGCTTGTCACTGCTGAGCGGCGGCGTGGAGATAGGCGGAGAGTCCAGGGGGAAGTCGGATGACGGCGGCACCGGTTCACTGCGGGACGAGTTGGACAAGGACGACAGGCCGGCGGCCAGCGCCGCCGCGGGGAGTGGCGAACGCAGCCAGGAGCGCAACATGACTGAGAAAGCGAATTGAATTCCTGGAAATCTAAAATTTGATTCAGACCAGATTTTAGATTTGACAAAAATAAAAAGTCTTAGACCACCGGAATGTTGAAGATGATGAACAGCGGCTTCACCTCGTCGATCTCTTCGATGTTTCCGGGACAACACAATGCTCTCAATAATAGATGAGAGCGTATCGCTGATTCGGGAATGCCAGAAAGTCCCTCCTTGATACCCAACTAGCTCCTCGGACGAGAGAATATTGTAAAATCTGCAAATCGTGATCTGCCGACACGTTCTTGTCACTCGTTCCTTGTTGAAAGGCAAACTCCAATCTATCGCCAGCCTAGTTGCTTATAGTGGTGCAAGCGTCATCTTTATAAGACACCAGCATTTTGTTTCTTGGAATCGTCGACCATTTTGCAAAAAAAATAAAATGTTGTTGTTGTTGTTGTTGTTAAAACAACGCAGGCGGACCGCCGGCTTTGAGTACTCGACACGATAATATTTTGGAACCGGGATGTAGAACTCTACAGCTAAAGAGAGCGGACGAATCTTCACAAGCGATCCCGATGTCCATAGTACAACGATCGTTGCAGTTCAATTTCGGTAAAATAGGATCTGTGCTGGTGTCAACTGGCAGAAAAAAAATTCAGATCTGAAAACTGTGCTAGGGTTTGTGTGCATTTTTTTAATCTGTTCGCGATTCAACCTACTAAGTACAACACTAAAACCTGCTGCTGATTCCAGTTGATAATTCGACATCCATCTGAGAGTAAAGTAAGCCATGCATGACCCATGCGATGAAGGTGCTCTCCACTGAAATCTGCAACACTACACCTTTGCAACTTCAAAATGGCAAATTACTAGTTCAAAATGTCGAAGTGTAAGGTCAACTGTGGTCACTAGCCAATAAAAACGATGATAGCTCCGACGGTGATGGAGACTGGTTGAAGGCCGAAGAGTTTGTGCTGAGAACTACGAACGGGGTTTAGACGCCAAGCTATCCAACAGAATAGCCGTACACCATTAAAGCACATGCCAAACCTGCTCCGTTAGTATCGTCATTTTTATCGGCTGGGGCACTTTGAACTTGCATGTTGACATATTGAACTAGTGATTTGCCATTTTGAAGTTGAAAAAGCGTAATGCAGCGAGTAGATCAGATATGTTTATTTTCGACGGTAAAATCATATTTTAGGTATTATCGGTGTATCTGCAGCTTAATGCTCTTGGCGATAAGCTCGCATTTGTGAGGAACACGATTATACCTGCAGTTGCATTGCAAACGCATTAAAACATGTAAAAGCAAGACCGGTTCGTGTTTGCTTCGTCATTTTTAAAGAACAAAACCTTTTTATACATATATTTTTGTTCAACCTTGTAGAACACGAAGTGCTGACGGAGCAGAACACAAGCTCCTAAACTATCATTAAACTCGTAGAATGCACCGCTAGGCCGTGTGTTCTCGTTTATTGACACTTTCTTTTTGATTTTTTTAATGGTAGGACTTAGAAAATACCTTTTTAAATTAAATGAAACTTTATTATTATAATGTAGTAACGGTGTTTTTCATTTAATAGGTACTTCGAATACCGTTTTATTTTGTACTTTATTTCAGTAATTCAAGCGATAATTGCTTCTCCTGACCATATACTACATTGTACTACTGTAATTCTTATACCTTTTCGGAAATCATGACCTGCCTGCTCTGCGATCTCTGTTTGGCATTGAAACTTTAATAGAGCAACATGAACATCTACGAATTTCTCGTCAAATTCTCAAATTAAACGTGTTTTCAATATTGTGCAAGCAGGAGAGGTTTGCTGAGTAACACAACATTCCAGTACGACATAATCAATGCGTTCAGCGGATCGGACGATACTTTGCAAAGTATTGTCAGTGATACTATAATATTTTCATTTCATTTTGCAGTGAGGTACATTGAAATCATTAAGGCTACCTTAATGAAGTGATACTATAACAGTCAGCTTTTGGGTTTCAGCCCTTCAACTGTCAGCTTAGTAACGACGGATTGCATTCAATAATAATAATAATAAAAGCGAATACATCGGTCCTTGAGAGCACATATGTACGACTTTCTAACTCAGCGCTGTCGCCTCGTATGGTGACCATGGATCGGTTTGACAGCATCTGCCTCACGAATAAATTGATCGTAAATTCAACGATGCACATGTAGCCACCAATCACACCGTAATGACCTCATTAGTAGCTGACGTCCATGTATCAGTTGTCACAAGAACCCAACATCTTGATGGCATCAAACTTTGTGCGCTACGTCCCATTCCTCGGTCATTTCTCAATTGTTCTCGTACGACACAAGTCTCCAGCCCACATTACCACGTCGATATGTTGAATCTTTACCCACCGGCCAACCACGCAGTGCACAACGGGGCAACGCTCAACTTCGCACCAGATATCGACCAGGCATGCCAGGCCATCCACAACGCCTGTAAAGGACTGGGCACGGACGAAAAAGCTCTGATCGCCGTTTTTGGGGCCCGATCTGCTGATCAACGATACCTCATTTCGGTTCGCTACCAACAGCTCTACGGAAAAGAGCTCGTTAAGGTACTCAAAGGAGAGACGTCGGGTGACTTTGGTCGCTTACTGCAACTCATCGCTCGCCCCCTACCAGAGGCAGAAGCTGCTATTATTCGCAAAGCTACCAAGGGCCTCGGCACCAAGGAAAAGATGCTCTACCCCATCATTATGGGCCGCACCAACGTAGAACTAGCCATTCTAAGGAAAACCTACTATGAGAAGTACCACCATGACCTGGGCTCGACACTGGAAGGAGAACTCAGTGGAGACCTAAAGAAGGTCATCCTAGCGTCTCTACAAGCCCCAGTGGAGCAGTTTAACCCAGCGATGCACACTCCACAGAGAGCGGAGGCGGACGCCCACGCACTCTACAAGGCCGGACAGGGTCGCCTGGGCACGGACGAGCGTACGTTTATCAATATCTTGGTCACAAGTCCACCTCAGCATTTATGGGCGATCAACGAGGCCTATGTGCGTAAGCGCAAAAGCGACGTCGTCAAGGCCGTGAAGAAGGAGTTTAGTGGTGATGCGGAGGAGGCCCTTCTGTTCTTGGTGCGTATGGCACTAGAGCCACTCGAGTTGATCTCGGAACTCTTTGAAAAGACCATGAAGGGATTTGGAACCGATGAGGACGCATTGAGTGCCACGCTGGTACGCTATCACATGATCCTGAACGATATCCGCCCAGTATACAAGAAGAAATACGGCAAGGAGCTTCGCGATCGCATCAACGGAGAAGTCAGTGGTGACTACAAAAAGCTGTTACTTGCAGTGTTCGATGCACCGAACTACTAAGTAAACCCGAAGCAACGAGGAGTAGCTAATTCCGTGGTGTTGCCATCGTGCTTGAAAATGCTGGACATGTTAACAAAAACACGGCCGCCGAACGAATTCATGTTCTTAAAAGCGTCAAATCGAGAAAAATTTGTTTGTTATTTTATATGAATCGATCCAAATCTCCACAACCTATGCATCCCAAATCTCCAAAGCCTATGCCGGAATCATCAGCTGTACACCAGAATGGACTGTATTAATTCTGCATTCTGAAATGATTCATTCATGCTTGTTAGACCAGCATTGCACCACCCTTACCTTGTTTTACAAAACTTACCAGCTTGAAAGCTCACATGTGCACTACCATGCTCTTCAAAGGCATTTCTCGATATCGATGTATGTGATACACTCGCTGAATCACTACAGTAACCACTGCATAATCTTCGAAGTACATGTATTTTTTATTATAAATTTTTAATTTTACTTACGTATGCGATAACCGCTTTGATTATATCGATGCCACCTCAAATCGTAAGTGCGATTAAGCCGGTTTTTTTTCAAAGCCTAGAATGGTCGAGCGGAAAGCGGAAGATGCTCCTTGGATGGCATTTTTCCCCGAATGCCGCACGATCTCCACCAGTTTGTGATTTGTGAAGCCACACGCACCATAGATAAGCAAAATTCTGCAGCCAGCTATCGGTATGCGACTTTATCTAAAGCTGATTGTATTCGTCCTCCTCGTTAGTGGCACCACACTGGTCGAAGCAGCACAGAGCAAGCGACACACCGTGGGCAGTACGAGATCGCTGCGAGTCGCCAAGTCCACCGACAATGAAGAACGAGGTATCCAAGATCTAACAAAGGCACTCAAAACGACATTTTGGCTCGAGACCGGGAAGAGTGACGACTACGTCAGGAACGTGTTGGGGCTGAAAAATCTTTCAGGGGATAAGCTCAAGACTGCCCCCAACTACGTCTACTATGAGCATTTCTTGCACGCTCTTGAAGGGCGTAAACTGCAGTCCTGGTTGGCCAAAGGAAAAACCACGAAGAGCGTATGGGCAGAATACAAGTTGGACGATATTCCTGCAGCTCAACTCAAAGACAATGACGGCTTCAAGACGTACCTGCGTTATGCAATAATGGAGGATAACCATTTCTACAAGCAAAAAATCATGGAACAGCCCGTAAAGGTCGACTACTCCGGCACTCCAGAGGAGTTGAGTGCAAAAGTGGACATGTGGTTCACACTGAATCGGCCGACCTGGTACGTCAAGAAGATGCTGAACCTGGACCGCCGATCCATAAATACCTCCCTAAAAAGTCCGAACTACCTGCACTACGAAAGGTTTGAGATGAAAACTTGGATGGCGAAAAAATATTCAACGAATGCTTTCTGGAAGGACCACAAGCTGAATACCGTTCCTGTTAAGCAACTGGAGAGTAAACGCATCTACAGGAAGTTTGTGCGCTATGCTACGATGGTTGATGACGAATCTTTCCAGCTATACAAAAGCGGCCAACAGTTCGAGAAACTCAAGGCTGGCGAATCCGAGGCGGAGATTAAAACAAAAGTGGCGATTTGGGCCTCGAAGGATAGACCTTTCAAGTACGTCCAGGACATGCTGGGGATCAATGGAGCCAGAGACACGCTTAATGCAAACTACAAGTACTTCGAGGATTTTGTGAAGCGGACGAACATACTGAAAGAATAAATTACATCAACCCATGGACTGAAAACGAACTACCAGTACACAATTCTGAATTTTGGCTATGTCAAACCCAACACGCAATGCTACTAACTGCATATTTCGGATTGGTGCCACGAGTAGTTAACGCCCTGACATGCGCTTGTAGTTTCAGCCAACAAGTGCACCGGTACAATCCCGACGATTTAGCCTCGCCGATGGCGTATCTAAGATTACCATAACTTCTAAGTTAACCCAGCGAAGAAGACAAATCTCGCATCCGAAGGGATTCTTGACCATTCTGTCACTCGCCCTTTGTTCCCCAGCAGTCGGACAGTGATCAGCACCATTATGCTGTTATGACAATGACAATTTCTTAGATGGATCGGGGGTTTCCCAGCACTAAAGATTTAGTGTTATTAAAATAGAGAGGTAATTGACGAAAAGAAAATTATTCTTGACGGCAAAATCATTTCAGCTGAAAATCTTGGATTTTTTTTTAGGAATAACGTCGTGACCATTATATTTTCATATTGAACCGATATTGTACTGGTTAGTGTTACATTTACCTCTTTTCAGCCAAGAAAGGGTGCTTAGCGAGCTCTAATGCGGTTGCTCGCTCTGTCATCGTCACATAACAAGAAACATAGTTAGATATTACGACACTGGTATACTCTTTGTTCCATAGCATTATTTACCTTCCGGGTTGATGCAAAAACAGCGTTGAAGAAACGATTTTGCCTCCAGTGACAAATGTTCTGGCAGTGGAGGTGGCGCTGTAGCCATCGCGATAGTATACATAGCCGCTAGGCCGTTATGACAGTGTGGCCATGGATGCTTAGCAGTAGCCATCTCGATAACAGTAGCACCGATACTCCAAATATCAGCCTTGTACCCATGACCAATTTGTTTGACGACTTCAGGTGCCATCCACGGAATGGACCCTCGAATCGAACGCAGAGATTCCTCTAAACTTGTGGTCAACATTTGGGGAATTTGCTTCGAACAACCAAAATCGGCTAACTTGGACACTCCTTGCTCATTTACCAGCACATTTGCACCTGGTTGTTGGACAAGCCAAGCGCAGAGCATATTAAAAATGCATCCTAAGCCCAATTTTGTTTTGTCACTCAAACCTTTGATATCACGATGAATGATACCCATTTCGTGCAGATAAGCAACACCCTGTACGATTTGTCGTGTAAAAATCCGAATGAGATCTTCACTAAAGGCGTCAAACTGCTTAAGCATACTACACATATCGAATTTTCACATGAAAATGTAATCCCAAGAGGGAGGTAAAACAATTTGAGGATACGCACCTGGCTATGGATCCACCAGGGACATACTCCATGAAAATGTAAAAATGATTCTCAGATCGATGGCTTCCCTGGTAGCTGGACACGAAGTACATTAGAACGTATCTTTTTAAACAAGTAAAAACATCTAAAAGAAATTCCAACAGACCGAACAATGTGCTTGTGGTTGAGATTATTCATGAGCGAGATCTCCTCGCCAAGTTTCTGCATCTGAGTGACCTGATCGTCGTTAGGACGCGAATGAATCTCAATCTCCTTCAGTGCAAACAGCTCGCCCGTGGCAATATTCAATCCTTTGTAAACCTGTAATATATATATATAAAGCAACTCATTAAAATCTCTACTTCGTAGTTAAAATAAATCAATGCCCACGTACCTTTCCGAAAGTTCCTTCACCAATGAGTTCACCTCGTTTCCACTGCGTGATGGGGTTGCTCACGACTGTCGCGTTCGTATCAGTTTCTGTCTCCACTTGCTGGTTATTTAACGGTGATATTGTCTCCCGTCGATGTGAAACTTCTGGAAACGAGGAAAAGTTTGCTGGACGTCTGATGCGTGGCGAAGTCGACCTTGTAAGCGACATCGACTGGGGCATCATGTCTAACACTGGTAAAGTTGCTAGATGTGGATGTGTCAGATGCAACTGAGAGACCAATTCACTAGGCGTCGGCATCTCGTTCGTACTTCGGCTTCCTTTAGTCTCCAGAGGCTCGTTGCTACTTGATAATGACGCAGAAGATGAAAGACTCTGTGTGGGTTTTGACTCCTCGGCACTGGAACCTGAAAAAATAATCGCATCGGGCAAACATTTGCTCTTGGCGGCTTTGCCCCAAAGCCCAAAATTCGAGACTGTCTTGTTCTCGATCTGAGCTTCTTGTTCTTGCACCACTTGCTCAAAAACCTCGGAATTATTATACGGAATATCGTCATGTGCATCCCACGGGATGTCCTCACTCTCGTCACTGCTATCTTCTCGTTGTTGGTCCTCCTCGTGGTCAGTACGATGTTCTGGCCTTTCACATAGCTCTACAAGTCCTACTGGCCGTTCGAGGTCTTTCAGTACATGAGCAGAGATGGAAAAGCTGCTGCTTCGCTGTAAAATACGGTCGTTGTTACTGCTGGGTGTATTGTTGTAGCAATCGGCGCTGTGTAGACGCTCTCGTCGCTCTGGTCTCCTTCCAGAAGGTGCTCGAGGTGTTAACGCATTCGGTGCCGACAATAACGCTCCGTCCGCTACCGATAAATGTTTGAGCCGCAGATTCCGTCCACTGGAGCTGCGATGCAACTCAACGACTGGAGATTGACGCAGAGCGTCCACTGCTGGGTGGCTACGAGGCGCTGTGCTGCCCTTAGACATTGTAGAAGTTGGTTCCTGCTCCGAGATCGAGAGCGAAGCCTCTGGCATCGCAACCCTTCGCATCTCGCTGGAATTGTTGGATTCTGCATCGCTGGAGTCGCTACGGAGGGTCGGATCAATTGCAGCGGATACTTTGGTCTTGTCCTCGCTAGGTAGTGCTGGGTATTGAGATAAATCTTTGTCAGGCTCCATTTGAGCTCCTCCAGATTGCAACGCGACGCCAATATTGACTTTGAGGCGATATGGGAGAGTAATCCAGCTGCAAACAGACAACTAACCTCGGTCAATACGCTACTTGAAGTGATCTACCGGGCGGACGCGTCGTTTCAAGATCATTTCGGTTTAGTAAGAAGCAGGTAGCGACTGAACACTCGGACTCGACTCGACCTGACTGACACGAAGCTCGACAATAGCGACATGACATCGTCATGTTTCGGTTGCCTGTGATTCTTACGATGGTTTGAACATGCCATGAGTTCGGAACGGCTTCTCCTCCTCAATTTGGAGAGATTTTGGCGAATGTGGCAATTTCCTCGTCGTGCTCCTCATATTTCTCGGACGGCATTTTTACCGATTAGATGCAAAATTTCGCGGACACGGCGTGAAGTGACACCGCACGTCTTGATAATTCAGAAGAGCATCGACAATGATGGTCTACCACCGGCTCCAGGAAGAAAACATCGTGAACTGCTGGCTTAAGGTTGGCGGTGGAGAATGAAAATTCAGTTGGTTTCTTCTAAAATGTTGGGCGATGCGCTCCTCTAGTATGCTCGCATTGTAATGAGGCACACTCACGAGCGAAGTGATCTACAATATCTTTGAATGAAAGCTTTATCTCTCGTTTGTTTTGCGTTTGGTTAACTAAAACAATGTTTGTCATGTGTTGTTTGAAAAGCAAAAAAAATAGCAACAAGTCAGTAATAGTAATTGTGTTCACATAAGGACACCTTGGATAATTGATGAGATTGTGACAAACTGACGAGCGATTACTTGACTGTTTTCAGACCGATAGGTGATTGCTTAAGGGGTTAAGTAAATGCTTAGTAAACTGTTTGCCACAATCTCCACTCTTACTAAGTAAGTATAAGTAAATACTGAGTAAGTATGGTCATCGATCGTCAAGATTTACAACGGTATCTAAATGACTGTCGCGTACTTCAAAGCACTTTAAAAAAGAACAGTAAAAGTAGGCCCATGCACTTCGAAGCAGGCTCTAGACTTGTAGTCGATGTTCATCACAAGAACAGTAGTAATAGTAAGTTAGATAGTCATCTTCTTTTGAGCAAGATACTTCGAAGTACATGGCAGTCATGTAGCCTCGCTACCTATAGGTAAACAAAACGCAAATCTTACTACGTAGTAGAGATTAGTTACTCTACAAATCCTACCGATGGTAAGAAAAGGTAAAGCAATCACCTCTCGGCCTGAAAACAGCCAAGTAATCGCTTGTCAACGTAAGTCCAAGTACCGTTGAAAGAGAGCTCTTCCTTCACCAACTCAAGTTAGCTCACTTTTGAATTTGCTTTCATCGATCCAACCCTCCAACCTTCCAGTATCTTAACCACGATGTCCTCGACTGACAAGAACATTCGCATGCCTCACCGTCTCCTAGGCAAGTCGGGTTTGATGGTTTCCAGACTTTCTCTTGGCAGTTGGATGTGGGAAGACGACAAGTACACGCCCGAGCGTTGGTACGAGATGATGAAGGCGGCATTCGAGCACGGTGTCAACCTGTTCGACAACGCAGAAGCGTACGGCAACGGCCAAGCAGAGCGCAACATGGGAGACGCGATCAAAATGGGCATTGCTGACGGTCTCTGGAGTCGTGAGGACCTCGTGGTGACCACCAAGATCTATTTCGGTTCCAAGGGGTACTTTGAAGGTAACCCGAACGACCAGGGACTGAGTCGCAAGCACATTGTGGAAGGTACGAAGGCCTCGCTCAAGAGACTGCAACTTGACTATGTGGACGTCATCTTCTGCCACCGATCGGAGCCTTACACGCCCATTGAGGAGGCCGTTCGAGCCATGAACTATGTGATCCAGCAAGGTTGGGCCTTCTACTGGGGGACGAGTCAGTGGTCAGCGGCCGACTTCATCGAGGCCTGCGAGATTGCTGATCGTCTGGGACTCATCCGTCCTATCGTCGAGCAACCTGAGTATAACCTGTTGGAACGTAGCAAGGTGGAGCTGGAATACGCACCGTTGTATGACAAATACGGACTCGGACTCACGACGTGGTCACCGTTGTCCTTCGGGATTCTCACGGGTAAATACAGCGCTGTTGCGTCTGGTGCTACTACACGCATGGACGTTGCATGGATAAAGGAGTCCATCCCTGATTTCGACGACCGGGTGGCCAAAGCGGACAGTTTAAAACCTGTAGCTGAGGAATTGGGCTGCTCCATGGCTCAACTGGCCATCGCTTGGTGTCTGTCGAACGAGAACGTGTCGACCGTGATGATCGGTGCTAGTTCGACGGAGCAACTCAAGCAGGATAGCCTTTATTACAGGTCAGAAACGATTTTGGTCACGGGTAAAATAATCAATTAGTTCACGTGACCAAACAATCATGTTCACGCACACGATACTTGATGCAATCTTCGGTCTTAGGTAGAAAAGAAAGTAGAAGTGTATTAAGCGAATTGGTCCGACAGTATGGAAATGTCATGCGAAGCGGCATTCAGCCAAATGAGCGCATCAAGAATGCTAAAAGAACCTTTTTAGTTGTCAGTCGCCTCCTCATTCTCGAACGAGGTGTCGTACAGAAGCTCCAGGTCTTCGTCAGATGATAACGCAGCCTCAATGTGGTCGCTGTTATTGGGGTCAGCTCCAGCAGCGTTTTCATTTTCACTGTCTGATTCTTCAATATCATCAATCTTCGGTAGTTTTGCGGCTCTTGGAAACCGCATTGTAGATCTCGCTGGTGCTTGTGCAACACCGGAAATGATTCCTCTGCGGAGAATGACATAGTGCTGTGCAACTTCCTCAATTGTTTTGACGAACCGTTTGAGCGATGGCTGCCGCTTGAGACGAGCATTTAACTCCCGATGAAATCGCTCGAGTGGGTTATTGGTTCGATTGACTATTTTCCTCTCGACATTGAAAATGTTCCATAACTCAGGAGGATATTGCTCAAGCCATGTCCTCTCGAAGTACTGCCAGAACTGACGCCACTTTTCACGAGAGTAAGGCACGCCTTTAGCTTCACAGCGCTGTTTAATTTTGGCCTTGACCCACGCCACCCCTTGTACGCTGATCTTATCCGGATTTACCACTGTTAGCATGTCTAGAACTCCAAAGGCCATTGCAATTTCGGCTTCATCGTCAGGCAACCGGTAAGCCTTCATTTTCCTTCTGCATGCCTGCTTAAAATGGAACAAACATCCAATGATCTTTGTCTTTGGGAAATGTTCTCGGATAGCAAATATGATGGCAGCTTCAAAGTCGCACACTATATCATTGGGACTGGGCTTTTTTCCTACTGCAAATTCGACACAGTAAAAGAATTTTTTGTAGGAGTCCTGGGTTTTAGACGTCGTCAAAGTGAAAAATAGCGGAACGAACAACTCGGTCAGCGGGTCGTACATCATCAACGTGACAACTTGGTGATATCCCTTTGGTGCACTACGAAATGTGCCATCAACAAACAAGTGTACGCCTTCGTAGCGAAGGAGATTCCGTAGTTCGGGGTGGGCCCACCCAATCAGTCGGTCAATCCCTGACTTTCCTTGCTTGATCTTTGTGTCATTTAGCCATGTATAGTTGAACTGGAGAAAACCCAGCTCCTCGTTTTTCACTTTGGCCATACTTGGCGACTCGATCATAGAAAATAGGTCCTTGCCGTTCTGAGCAGCGCGGCCATTGTTAATTCGTGTAACAATCTGCTTTTTATTAAGACCACGGATAACGCCCACAGAGTTCTCGTAAAATTTTCGGTATGTAAGCTCCCAAATCTTGGTAGGCGACTCGTCTGTTGTGTCCACTAGTTCGTCCACGAAGCTCTTCATTTCATCTGTCAGGTCAAGGCAAACGGATTCATCACTTACGACTGCAGCACGGCCACTTGCAAAGTCGTTTCGGCAGGTATGATGAATCATGTTGGCAAAATCGTAGGTCATCGTCTCCGCATAAAACACCAGTTGCGCTGGGCAAAGCTTTGGCTTCCGATAATAGCTGCACCTGTAGGTTATCTTCACACCAGTAGCGTTTGCTCGTGTGTACTCGTATCCCATACAATATATCTTCGTTCTGCCTTCTCTCTCGGCCGAGCGCGGCCTTATCGTTGCCGTAGATGAGGCTGAGGTTGCTGTACGTGGTACAGTAGATAGCAATGAAGCCGAGTTGCCCTCACTGTCCGTGGCAGTGCCCAACACCGTGACGAGGACGTTCGGAGTTGAAGCTAAGCTTGGTGCTGCTGCCTCCGAGCTTGGTGTAACCGCTAACGAAGGCAACGCAGCGCTCAATGCGGACCCTTCATCCGGAATCTGAATTTGGTATGGAACAACAGGGTCGAGAGTAGCTAGAGGCGAATCATGAGCTTCGCTCTCACTTAACCCAGGCTGAGCGTCAGGTAGACGCGTTGAAGGTCGAGACGTCGGTGCATACCGGCGCCGGCTTCCTCGGCGTTTTGGCCGCGCCATATTACTGGCAGTTGAGACAGTAGTGCGAAGTAGAGGTAGTAGTTGCT